TGTTGTCTGCTTCCTCCACTCCACTTTGCCGCAGTTTTCAGCTGGACTCATAACACAGTAGGAGGCGATGAAACAAAAATACGAACAGGATTTCAAATCGCATGCGAGGAGAAATGAACATGTCCTGAACAGTACGGATATTGACGTGTATAGAGAAAATTTGAGGACGGAAATCTACTACCCAAACGGTCGACGTGTCGCGAGCGAGCCAAAAAGACAACGTAAACATTCCAAGGGATATCACAAAGCATTGGTTTTAAGAGAGNATCATGCCAGTGACAGGAATTGTTAAAATAATATAACTCGTGATAAGTGGAACACATTTGAAATGACCTGCCTTCTCAGGTGAGATAACATGAAGAATTAAGTGACAATTTAGTGACGTGAGAAGTGCATCAAGGATAGGACATATGTGGCACAAAACTCTTAGGGCGAGAACAAAAAGTGGTATCTGAAATTTTATCAGCGTGCTAAAACAATCCGGTCGAACGGTCCGAATGACTCGTTCCATCTTAAACAATCCTTTTCTCCAGGGTGGTATCACGATTAGTGTGAATTACTTGCAACATGACCTAGAGGTGAAGTGAAATGGAAAGGATTCAGTGAACTAAAACTAGCAACATACTTACCAGGTGTTCCATAATGAAAACCGAGTGATTAGAGTATCTTTCATAAGAATCGGTCTCTATTCGTTTAGTTATGGATGAAATAAGGTTGTTACAAAGCATCTGCGCAAACATCACATAGACAGCCTCTGGCCACTTCGCAAATGCAGACCTATGATACGCATTAGATGTAAACACAGCTGAACTTACTAACTTGCGTTACCGGTGAGAGATCTGTTAATGCCAATCTAAAACACTCAGCATTTTTGGGGAAATAAAAGAACGGACTATAAGTCACGACGAGCAGCCACAGCTTAGGGACCCAACACCAAACTTTCATCAGATACACACGGAGGAATCGACCGCACTTGTCGGTTTTTGTTTGTGTAACTTATATCTGGTTCTGGAAGAACTTCAATTGACACTAACGGACGAGAACATCTAGTAACATGTATTACTATTGTAAAGGGGTTTGGGAGAGCACGAACGGAAGAGTCGTTAAAAGCCAAAGAACAATACTCTCTGTTCAACCTAAGAAGCTTGCGCTCTCCAGTACCAGTCTTGTCAATGATATTGCACTTCGGTTGTCCCATTATAGGTTTGTTGGTGGACAAAGTCTCTTGGTATGAAGTTGATAAAAGTAATTTAGACGGTCAATGTTTAAATCAGCCTATTCTTTTATTCACAAGCAGCAGATACTGTTGACGCTCGCAGATGTGGAGTTCACTCGTTGGGAAATCGTCAATTACTCAACAGTTTTACAACCACTGCCCATGCATCTTCATGCGGCGGTTTCGGTTGCTGTCTTCTCGCTACCTCTTTGAGTAAAAGAGTCGAAGGAAGATAGGAACGTTGCAAGCAGAGTCAAAAAGAAAATTCACATAAACAGGTCGAATTACCGCTGTATACACTCGACCGTTTGAAGATAGTTGAATGTTGTGGCGGCGTCACAGACTGGCGAATGCCCATCGAGCTTTCTGTACACGTACCGATACTTCATCCGCAAGGTGAGATATAGCTGTCCGAATAACAAAACTTGTCTGATTGCTCCATTACTTCCCCAGTTATAGGGAGGCTGGATGCTACACCAACTTAGTCTCATAGCAAAAGTTTGCACTTTGAGGGTGCAAAACACATACCGAACATGGCTACGCTGGCACTCAAACTATCCGGAAAAGCTTGCAACTTGCCTGGATCTTCACTTAGCAGTACAATGTCGTCCATATACTTCAGAACAGAGTTTGTCACTCGGGGGCAGGTCGATGTGATTATCCTCGTGCGAGGATGGAACTAACAGGGAGAGGGCAACCCTAACGAACATCACTTACTGTAATGAATTCAAGTGAAAAAGATGAGATGATTTACTTCCCGGATAATCTCTACCTCAGACGGGGAACCGATATCAACTGACATTATCTGCCCAGCTGAACCAGGAATCGAGAGGTCTGTTGTCAACCGGAGCCGGTCAAGCTGTACATTAAAAATGTTCTGCCTATTGCTCAAGACGACGTTCCTGATAATGAATCAGTGTGTCGTCAAATTGCTTAATCACTTCACTTACGCCTACTTTCCTTGAGTCCGTACTTCAAAGTAGATGGAAATAATCGTAATTAGTACCAACAGACGACGTATTCTTCATCTCTCTACACTTTCTCACCCACCACTTCTTGCGATCCTTTTTCAAGCTCTCGATGAGTTGATGTTCAAAGGATTTGCACACGGTGTCAAATCCAGGGGACTGGCCCTGCTAGTATACAGCAACACCCCTATACCTGAGCAACAGCGCCTACGGTCATCGCCCCGTGCGAATGGCTGCATCAATTTAGACGGTGAACTTTTAGATTAGCCTATTCGATTTTTCAGACATCTGGCACCGCTGATGTTCTTGAAACGTTCGGTTCATTTTTGGGCGGTGAGGTTGTTGATACAGAGTTCGTTCGACTGTTTATTTGAAATGGTTACCTGCCCCCATGACCAGGAGTGCAAAGCCACATGGCCAGTAGAGGGTGTTTAAGCCTGTCAATCAAGTTACTTTATAAATCCATAAAAATTTACAGTGAACTGGGTCGTTCAGATAGCTACTTTACCAATAAATCCGGAAAGAGAATTATCGAGTATAAATGTGCAGCAGTTAAGTTAATATCATTGTCTTATAATTTTAAGACTTCAACCGATAAATTCAACAGTAAGTTTTCTTTGCTTATTAGTAAGTGGGGAACCGAAAAGACGATAGTTATGAAGCGAAATGGGAACAGCTTCACCTGTGCGAGCATGCCTCTGGATTGAATGGTAAAGTCTTAATTTAGGTCTTATTCCAAGTACGTAGATTTGATTCGAATGAAGCAAAAGGAAAGCAAAGAACACTCCATAAAACGGCTGCTTATTCGACCGTGAAGTGATCACTGGACTTGATCAGAACGGAATAGTGGACACGGTTCTCTTAGTTGCATAAAACAACCTGGACCCGAACGTTTTCATTCGATATGTTTGCTTTATTAGTTCGAAGTCCAATTTAATAGCTGCACTTCTTCGATGGATTAGAAATAACTGTTCATTTCGCAGATCAATGTCGTCTAGGGGTGTTATCACCAATAAGCCTTATTGTAGAAAGAAAAACTCACATTCGGCCGCACGGATACGTTCGAAAAGAAATCGTGACTATGGCTATGCACAGTTCCCTTTGAATCACGTCGCTCTTAGGAATGGTTCGATCAACCGATGCGTCTATAAATACTAGAAGTACACGTACACGGTGAACAAACAACAGTGATTTGGGGAATGAATGCAATGCATGCAGACAAGAGGAGATCTGAATCAGAAAGTTTGGAAGCACGTTGTAAGACTGTTAGCTTAGTGGAGTACTATCGACCGCGTGATTCCATCGACTGCGCAGAGGATTGACTTGGATACCTCATATACCTCATCTAATAACTGACACTTATGCAGAGTCACTGTGTTACGCACAACCCGCGGAATATGACAGCTTTATACGTATTAGAAATAAGTAGCATTTCGGGTCAAACAGCACATCTGTGAAAAGGCCGTATTCGGAAGACAACCGGTTTCTATTAACCGCCCACGATAGACAGAATTTAAAGCTAGGGGGAATAAATCGTCTCTAATTCAAAAGATTTGATATAAGTGCGTATAGGGAACGATCGTGTTTGATCAGCGGTAGAAATATCATTGTAAAATAAGTGAAATATGGATGCAGAAGAGTGAAGCAAGAAGTAATATCTTTCTACGTCTGTGAAACAGTTGAAAGACGACGAGCAAACTTCTAACTCGTCTCAATGATAGGAATCACGAAACGTCAAGACTAATTGTCTCTGACTGATTTTGATGAGACAAAAAAACAGCAGACCAATCGTTTATTCCAACATTCTCTTCGTCGAGGCCGTTTTATACTGAACGAGTGGTTCAAATGTTCGTGTTCCATCTTGAAACATTGAACCGAACTTTGGGAAACGGCAAACTTGGTGGTTCGCATGATGCACTGTACAGTTCTGATTTTTATTGTGAACAAGCCGATAAAAACGCGAACATAAACTCGGGAAGACAACAGACCAGAAATTCGCTCTCATTAAAAATCGTCGGTAGGAACGCGAGATCAAACTTGCACGTAAGGTTTTTAATTGGACGTAACAGAAAGCATACTGTAACTCGGTGCTCTGTTATTGAGACTGTCTAAACCAAAATGGAACACAACTTCTCACCGACCTCAGCCAGAAAGAATGAACTAGTTGAAACAACATTCACACGGATGTCTTCCATGTGAAGAGTTCAATGTGCTAAAACCGGAATGAGCCGGTGGATTTGCAGCACCAATTAACTCTAATGAGAACAATAATCAAGTTCCAGACTTGCGAATTGCATGACAAACAGAATGAATCGATGATAATGCGTGAAGAGAAATTCCTGGGGATGAACGGTGAAAATCGATTTGAGAGATTCAATGGACCACCAGACGTATAAGTAATCAAGTCTCCTAAATGATGAATGAACGGTAATCCGGTTCTGAAAAAAGGAAAACGGTTATGGTAAACGCCTTATCCGAAACACGCGTCATTTGATTGGACTAACATTACTAATGCCGCATTGAACGAACTCAATAATGAATACCCGAACCCACCTTCCAAACGGCTGACGTAAATCGAGAATGTTTAGAATAAATTCAGTATCAGTGTGCATAAATAATCAGTGAGATCGACCGAAACTGAAGATAGCATACCGAAACTGATCGTTACGATACAACGAACACAACACCATAAAGAACAAATTACGAGTGAGACGCGTAGAACGGTTTGTCATTCGCTATGAATAAAAGTGAGAGTAAGCTACCAGTGCACATAAGGATTTGCGATAAATCTACAGACCAATCACATTAACACTGTTTTGTTCGGACTATAAACCTTTTAGGACCATGAGAACACTCAATATGTCAAGTTAAAAACGGAGTCGAATACACATCACCAAAGTGGAAAGAAGTGAGCACAAAGCGTGACTGGATCCTTAACGATAGATGCACAACATGAAGAACACAAACACAAACAGTTCACATATTGGGAACAACGGCGAGGTGGAGGGGATGGGGGATCAAGGTTTACGCTCGCACACAGAACACGCTGTGAGTAAGGAGGAAATCGCGTTGTGCACTTTGATCTTGGCAAAGTGTGACAATCCCGGTGGTTAGGTTTTTAGATCAGTCCCCGAATTGAGAAGGGTTAAAAGACTGAGTTGGAGCATGTTTCCGCACGGAATGAACGTTTTACAACTGATTGATTAGTCACGGCAAAAAAACACCCGAGGTAAGACGCTACTGACTAAGGCAACCGACTGAGTGAGGAGAGGACACCAAACGCGTGCTCCGATTCGGGATAAAGAAAGATTAAAAGTCACCGGAGGTCAAAATCTAACGGGTAAGGTTAATTGCATTACAGGTTCTTCATGCCAGCGAAAGAGATGAAAGCCTATGGTTTGGATGGTGTACACAGTTATGCCAACACCCAGCCCAATGGGATAATCGGACAAGCAAT